GCAGGTGAAAAATCTTGTTACACAGACGCGAAGACTAAACTTGTCACACAGACGCAAAAACTAAACTCGTAAGGGAAACTAGAAGATTAAACTTGTAACAGAGACGCGAAGACCAAGGCCGTCACACAGATGCGAAAAAACTAAACTTATCACAGGTACGCAAAAGACTAAATTCGTCGCACAAACGCGAAAACCACGCTTGCCACGCAGAAGCGAAAACTAATGACGTCACACAGACGCGAAAGCTAAACCTGACGCACAGACTCGAAAACTAAATTTGTCACACAGACGCTAGATAAACTTGATCACACAGACGCGAGAAACTAAGCCCGTCAGACGGACGCAAAAAACTAACGGGAAGAAACAAAATCCGTCACACAAACGCGAACAGGTAAACTAAAACACAGATGCGATAACTAAACTTGTCAATCAGACGTGAAAACTAAATTTGTCGCACAGGCGAGAAAGACGAAAAGAAAAACTTTGTCCCACAGACGTGAAAACTAATCTTGTCACACAGACGCGAAAATTAAATTAATAACACGGATAAGAAAACTAAATTTGTAACACCGACGAGAAAACTAAACTTGTCACACAGACGCAAAGACAAAACCTGTAACAGAGACGCGAAAACTAAATTCGTCACACAGACGAGAAAACCAAATTTAAAACACAGACGAAAAAACTAAATTTGTAGCACAGACGAGAAAACTACATTAGTCACACAGGCGCGAAAACTAAATTTGTCAGACAGGCGTGAAAACTAAACTTGTAACCAGGACGTGAAAGCTAAACTTGTACACGGACTGGAAACCAAAGTTGACACACGGACGCGGGAACTGAATTTGTCACACAGACGCGAAGACTAAACTCGTCAAACAGACGGTAAACTAAAGTAGTCACACAGATGCGAAAACTAAAACTGTCACACAGACGCGAGGCCTAAACTTGTAACACAGATGGAAAACTAAACTTGTCACACAGACGCGAAAAGTAAATTTGTCACATAGACTTGCCACACAGACTTGTCACACAGACGGAAAACTGAAGTTGTCACACAGACGCGAAGGCTAAATTTGTCACATAGACGCGAAAACTAAATTTGTCACACAGACGCGAAAATTAAATATGTCACAAAGACTTGTAGACAGACGGAAAACTAAAGTTGTCACACAGACGTGAAAACTAAATTTGTTACACAGACGTGAAAGCCAAACTTATCACACAGACACGAAAGCTAAATTTGTAACACAGACGCGAAAACTAAATTTGTCACACAGACTTGTCACACAGACGGAAAACAAAATTTGTCACACAGACGCGAAAATTAAATATGTCACGCAGACTTGCCACACAGACGGAAAACCTAAGTTGTATACAGACGGAAAACTAAGTTGTAACAAGGATGCGAAAACTAAATTGGTAACACAGACGCGAAAACTAAGCTTGCCAGACAGACGGAAAACTAAAGTTGTACACAGAGGCGAAAACTAAATTTGCACTCAGACGCCAAAACTAAAGATGTAACACAGACGCGAAAATAAAAAGGTAACACAGACACGAAAACCGTAAACCGTACACAGATGCGAAAACTAAACTAGTAGCACAAACGCGAAAACTAAACTAATAACACAGAAGCGAGAACCAAGTAAAAAGACCAACAACACCTAGCCCGAAAAACGCGCGAAGGAAACGAATACAAGGACAAGAGAAAACACTAACCTCCTGAACCGCAGGTTGGGGTGCAGGAACCACGTTGTCGTTAGCGTTCTGTGCGTTGTTGTCACCGGCAGCGTCGGCTGGAGCCGGAGGGGCGACAACTGGAGGGTCAACGGCCGCTGCAACAGCCCCATCCGCAGGAACAACAGGGACTTGTTCCGGCATGGAGAACGAAGAACGAAGAAAATCTTCGAAGGTGGCGCAGCGATGACCGGGCAAAAAAGAAAACGCCAAGCTAACGATTGGCGAACGTTTAACGAAAAGAGAATTAAACAGGCCAAAACAGGCCTATTTATACAAAACCTGCGTGAAACAGAACACCCAGGAGACTACGAGCGCGCGGAGATTTTTATCCTTGAATCCCGGAGAGATTTGGGGCGTTTGTACGAGATGGCCCCAGTGAGAATAGTCACTCTAGTGCAATTTGCTCAACAAAATTTTGAATTTTGAATCTTGAATTTTGAATGTTTTTCCTTGATCCGATCCGTGATCCGGTCCGTGATCCGATCCGTGATCCGGTCCGATCCAGATTTTGTCGATGCCGGTACCAGGCCTCGAAAATGTTATATAAAACGCCTAGCGCGGTTTATGTAACGTCATAAAAAGTATCGCTCGACCAATCAGATTGCTGGAAACTCTTTGCTCAGTTCTGAAATAGACACTGGTTGAGATCATCGTGATATGTGTTTGGCTAAAACAGTTTCCTCTCAGTCTCACGGTTCTTTTCTTTATCCAGGCCAATCGCTTTTCAGTTTTCTCTTAAATTGCATAAAAGTGTTATTTAAAACATCCAGAAATCATTCTTGCTAATTTATGTGGCTGTGATTCAGTTGATTGAATGATTTTAATTAGATGATAAGTGTTAGGTGTAGATGCATACTTCTTTTATATATTTTTTGGCCATGTGACAATTTGCTTACTGCATTTTTACCTTTTAGACCTTTTGTATTTTTACTTATAAATGTACTCTAATAACTCTCTGTATAAATATTATTATTATTATTATTATTATTACTATCATCATCATCATCATCATCATTATCATTACCATTACTATTTGAAAATGTATAAAAATCTCATCCATAGGGAAGTAGAAATACTCCTAGCTGCCTCTAGCAAAGGAAATACAAGATTTGTGTCTACCTGCTTGGTCAACAGGCTTGAGGGCAAACTTGACATTTTACTTTTGTTTTAAATGGTCACACTAAATTATTTATTTATTAATTATTTAGTTATTATTATATCAACTTGTAGTGAATAAATTTATGTCTACTGTAACTTTAATTTGTCTCTACAGATTAGATTACTACTCAGTTGTTATAGTAGCTGGTGTATACTTACATACAAATGAGTGGACCCAACTCAAACCTTATGTGACATTTCATGACTTTATACTTAAAGTAACAATGAAAGAGACTGAGCATGTTTCTGGTTTTCTTGCAGTTAGGTCCACTCATGTTTGCTTGCAGTTAGTTCCACCCTGGTTTGCTTGAGGTTTAAGTTCCACTAGGGTTTGCCTGCGGTTTGCTTGCCGTTAGCTTTCATGATGTGGTTTGGGTGACACTGTATTACAAACAATTTAAGCTTGCAGTATGTGCAGTTAAAAAATTCAGCGTTTTCCAGCTGGTGTTTCATTATTACTCCACATTTGTGCAACAATTTGAGCTGTTATTTGAGTAGTTTATGCGACATGTTATCAACCATACATAGTTGTTGTTATCAGAAACATACGGCAATAAAATTATCAGAGAAAAGTGCTTACTGCTATACTACAAACCCAGCCATAGTCAACCAATAAAAATTGATACTGGAAATCAATCAGTTCAATCGATATCAATCACCAATTGCTATCGATTGATACTGGCAAGTCATAACGACCGAATTTACAAAAAAAATTATTTATCGATTGCTATTGATTGGCAAAAATCGATAAGAATTGATAATAAATTATTCCTGCCTTTGGGAATATTGATTGTTATTGATTGAAAATATAACCACCCGGACTATTCAAAGATGGTGTTGCTATTGTGTAAAATAATACCTGGAAAACCTCAAGACAGGGGTTCATCTTCAGGATTTTTGACAATTTTTAAAAACTAAGAACCAAACTCTACCTACTGCTAGGTGGAGTGATCTCTTCTCCAGGCCCCAGTTGTTCAAAGTCTACATAACGCTATCCACCAGATAAATCGCCATCCAGTGGATAGCGATTTACCTGGTTGATAGCATGATGTAACTTTTAAACAACAGGGGCCAGGTCTTCTGGGGTCTAAAGCAGGATCTTGGCATGATGAAAACATGTAAAGCTTATGAAATGTTTTGGTTATTTGATATGCAGGCTACACTGTATGATAAAATAACTCAACAAGACCATTTCAGACAAATTTTGTCAAGCATTTTATCAGAGTGTAACTTTTAAAACGACAAAACTAATTTTGGATAACAATCGATAATAATCTATACCAATCGATGAATCAATCACTATCAATTATTATTAAAAATTGGATCGTTGCCTTGGATAATGCCATTCGAGAGTTTTCACTGGCTGAGCCATCATGGGTTATGAGCCCTTATACCATGCTCTACAAATATGGTAAGCGTAGGCATGATTTTTTGGGACATTTTCATTTTTATCTTAGTCTAGTTTTCTAAATTAAATAAATTTCTGGGCGTTTTCAATTAAACAATTATTCCATTTGCGCTTGTTGGATATGAGATTATTGTAGCCCACTCAGCACTACGTGCCTATTGGCTATCTACATGTACTCGTGGAATGATTGTTAACTATTGGCAATCCATAATTAATAATCGAACTCACCAATTTTTTTCTTCATCGATTGCCACTGGCAATCGATATCAATCTTCGATTGACCTCGATTGTTATCGATTCATATCGATTATCGGTATATCGATTGACCACGCCTGGTGTAAACACTGATAGGCTTCGATTATTGTTGACAGTACAACATGACAAATCAGTAGGAGTCATTAAAAATATTTCGAAAGATTTTATCAATGTATTTAAAGGCCAATACCAAGAACGATCGATGATCGTACTTCTGTGTTTTTCAAAACGTCTAGTAGCTTCTACATTTCGTGGAAAAAGTGATTACAGATCGTCGAATGCGTCAGAATGCTGCAGAATGTCCACCTCACATAAGCTCACGAACTACTGTCTACCCTATTCTTCACTGCAAAACGCAGACACTATTTAGTTCATTTTTTTTCACAATCGATAGTTTAGCTAGACGAGAGAAAAGCATTCTTGTAGACTCTCTTACCTTGAAAACCAGCGACAACGACTTCCGCAAATCACACAGGCGTCGCCATATTTACAGTCATTACACCAGCTTGCACTCGGGCCCAGACTCTTCACGACCCAGAAAAGTTTTCATACTACCCACCTAGGAGGTTAGGTTGCGTGGCGGGGATGGGTGGGGGAGGGAGGAGAGTTGCATTGCCGACCAGATGTCAGCCAGAAGTAATCGTGTGGCCAAAAAATAAGCAAAGTTTTTGTCGAAGAAACACAATCGACTGTTTTGCTTGGGAAACATGTTTCGAGCCTGGGGAAACTGGAAACATTTGTTTCAGAGGCACTTGGGAGATGACGGTAAGTTTAGATGAAGTCCGTTCCTATATTCCCTCCACTTGTCATCTTCTATCCCCCTCTCTCCATTCACCACCCGTCTCCCATCTCATTTCCCCACTGTTCCACAACCCTGCCGCAATCCTTAACTCACCAGCCACTTCGTTTCTAAACCTTTATCCCCTATGATTCATACACACCTCAATCCCAACGCCTCGCACCCAATCCTAACCTCCAAACCCTGACTTTACATCGATCAACCCCTACAACTCACCAACTACCCCTCACCCCTGACCTCTCTCCTCCACCACCTGCCCCTCATCTCAAGAATAGACCTGCTGCTCTGATCTGACATACTGATCGACGCAATTTCGATTCATGTCCATGACTCTATCATATTTTTTTACATCTGATTAGATTAGGAGTAGTAAGGGTATGAAGTGATAGACGAGTGGTGGATTGAGCGTTGAGGGATAAGTGGGAAAGTGCCTGTGCCTGCCAAAAAGTCCCCCAAAAAATTCCCCTAAAATAGTAGCTAAAAAAGCTGGTGAGGCAATCTCGGATAGTGCGAATCGTCACCCCTGCCGCTCATCCCGGGTTTATATTCAACGCGAACCCTCAGGGGTACACTCAAGCGCTTCTGTCGCCAGTGATTGTTGCGTTTTCAATTTTTTTTTCGGTGTAGCGTTGACAAAAAACATTTGAAGTGGTTTTCGGAGTGAAAACGCCGTCTGCAAATTTCCTTGGAGTAGTGTGGACGGGCCTTAAACTAAGCAGTGCGAATGTTTTATGTGTATATTTTCACTCAAGGTCCAAAAATAAGTTACAATTACCTATAGGCCAATTTCGCTATATTAAAATTCTAACTTGGTCCCGAGGCTTAGGGGAATAAAACAAAAAAACTCGCATCGAAGATGACAGATGGGCTCAATTAATTTCCTTTGTTTTTGTTTTCCAAAGCTTCGAAGCCTGGTTAGGATTTTCATATATTAAATAGTTTAAATAGCCGTGCTCTTAGGAATATTCTATATTTTAATTCTGAATTTATCTTAGAGAATATAGTAATTGTAAGTGGTAATGTTATTGTAAATAGTCGTGCGTTGTTGTCATGAGCCATGGCTCAGGAGATTGGGCAACCACTTCCCATGTTTACGACTTAAAATAGAGTTACCTTACCTTACCTTACCTTAGCTTACCTTATATATCGTAATTGGCCTATTTAAAAGACAGTTTTGAATGTTACTGTGGTGTTTTACGTTGGTTTTCGTTCATTTTAAATATAAAACAGGTTTAAGTAACAAACCGGAAAATTTTACTTTTCACGTCTTCTTTTCTCGAAAAAACACGGACGATCTCCTTGGTATTTTTCCGCTTGAGATAACTGGAAGAAAGTTAAGTAACTGATGAAGAAATGGAAACGCAAATTTCAAATAGTCACGTTCTTACCTGTTTTGCACCTGTGGTGCTAACAATAAAAGCACTGAAAATTAAAGGCTCCTGCCATGTGTATACCAAGAAAATACAAGTGAGAAATGAGCTATTCAGTGGCATAGTAATTACTACATTGGATCTAGCTTTGTACATTAAGCTTCTTTTAACTGAAAGCATTACATACAGGTATAATACAAGAGGCCCAAAACACCTAACTGTGCCCCAAACACTTTATTATTATTATTATTGTTGTTGTTGTTTTGTTGTTATTGTTGTTATTGTTATTGTTATTGTTATTGTTATTGTTATTGTTATGATACAGGTTTGCTACAGGTAAAGAGAAGTTCTAAGTTTCTATCGCCGAAATTTTAACTAACTTAAACTAACTTTAACTAACTTCAACAAAACAAATTGCGTCCAAGTGAATCTACAACCAGGAGGAAAAAAAGCCAAAATATACAATAGGTTATAGAATGACAAGGTTTACATACACGTCATTTTAATCGCATATAATCATCGTAATGCTTGATGAGACATGTCTCACTGCTAAATTCCTCCTGACAAATCCAACAGGTGAGGCTTTCAACTTGGCTTAAATTATTTTCAGTCAAAGAAGCCAACAAACTAGACTCTTTGCTACCTCGAGTTGTTGACAGCTCCTGGTGTTTTCTTAGTTTTAGGTGCTGATCTTGCTGCTTGTGTTTTAACGAACTGTCTGCTGCGTGTTTTTCTTCATGTCGCTTGCAATTTGATGACTGGCTAAAGAACTTTTTACAATGCTTGCATGAAAACGGCTTAACTCCTGTGTGGGTTCGTTCATGCTGCTTGCAAGCCGATGTCTGGGTAAAGCTCTTTTTACAATGTTGGCATGTATACGGTTTCTGTCCTGTGTGAGTTCGTTCATGTTCCTTGCAATGTGATGAGACGGTAAAGGACTTTTTACAATGTTTGCATGAATACGGCTTCACTCCTGTGTGAGTTCGTTCATGTTGCTTGCAATTTCCTAAATGGCTAAAGCCCTTCTTACAATGCTTGCATGAATACGGCTTCACTCCTGTGTGAGTTCGTTCATGTTACTTCCAATTTCCTAAATGGCTAAAGCACTTCTTACAATGCTTGCATGTATACGGCTTCACTCCAGTGTGAGATCGTTCATGTTCCTTGCAAAGTGATGAGTAGGTAATGCACTTTTTACAATGCTTGCATGAATACGGCTTCACTCCAGTGTGAATTCGTTCATTTCGCTTGCAATTTGATAACACGCTAAAGCACTTCTTACAATGCTGGCATGTTTACGGTTTCTGTCCTGTGTGAGTTCGTTCATGTTTCTTGCAATCTGATGACTGGCTAAAGCACTTCTTACAATGCTTGCATGTATACGGTTTCTCTCCTGTGTGAGTTCGTTCATTTTGTTTGCAATTTCCTAATTGGCTAAAGCACCTTTTACAATGCTTGCATGAATACGGCTTCTCTCCTGTGTGAGTTCGTTCATGTTGCTTGTAAACTGACAACTGGTCAAACAACTGACCACAATGCTTGCATTCGTGTGCCTTCCCTCGGATCTTTGTTGCCATATTTATTAGAGTAGGTTTTGATTGCCGTAAATTCTATGCCGCCCTTCGTCCAGCTTCTTTCTTAGCTACTCCAGACAGTCGACTTGATTCCCTTTCAAAACACTCTGTCAGCTTTTCTATCACGACTGATGTCTCTACCGTATATTCCTGACGAAATAATCAAACTGGTGAGAAAATCTCAGATAGTGCAGAGTTCAATGTCTAGCTGAGGCATAGTAGTCACACAGGTCATCATCCCTACCCGGCTAACTCCCACTTCGTATTTACCTTAGTACCTAGGGCTTTTCCCCTTACAGAATATGAACGGACAGACACCTTGATAAGACATAATCAACAATAACTTACAATTACTGTTTGCAAAGACAGCTTTCAAATTTTGTTCTGGTATTTGCTTTGATTTTGGTTTATTTGAAATTTACTAATACGCTGAAGTAGAAAATGTGACAATTTTACTTTTCAGGTTAACCTTTGTATTTTGATACTTTTGTTTTCCTCGCAAAGGTATGTAACATGAAACCCTTATTTTCTCAAAAGAACCCATGGAAGATGTGCTTTTTTTAACTGCTGGAGATAAATGGAAAAAAGTCAAATATCTTATGAGGGAATGAAAGAGGAACGATTACGCAAATTTTCTCTTTACCGATAAACAAGAGGTAATTTAATTATCAAATACACTTGTAGTCAACGAACCACGTTCTTGTTCAGTTGCCACCTTTGTGAAAATAATAAAACCACTTAAAATTTATACTTAATGATATTGATTAAAGCAACTGAGAAGCGTTAGGGTTTCAACAAGTAATATTGAAGGCCAGCGCTACTCAGTTAACCAAGATTATATCCTACATCGGTGAACGAGACCCTTCAAAGAGTGATTAAATTAATTTGCGCTTTCATTACGTGCCCCGCAGTCTACAGCAATATTTGAACACTTTCCTAGTTTGTTTTGTCACAAATTTACAGTTTGACCAGTCTTAATGCCACTAAATCAGGAAAGTTTGGCTGGATATGAACTTTTTGGTGTCTTTCACGGAGACAGTAAAAAGAGAACTAAAGAAGTCGCTAAGGAGAAGCAAAACGTGTCCATCCTTAATTTGAACCCTGGCAAACACACATGTGTAGTTTGATAACAGCAGATGACATTTGTTGAACCGAGCTGGGGGTAATTCTGAAAGATACGCTGTCACAGTAGCGTTCTTTGCACTAAAAAGGGAGAGGTGACGTTACCGAAAAAATCACTGCTGTCCTCGGTCATATCACATGAACTATGGCTCTAATGTTGCCAACCATGCGTGGCAAAACAATCACTCCATTGATTTCGACAATGCTTGTGTCATTGACAAAGGCAATTACCGCGTTCGAAAAACACTAGAATCTTGGCACACAGCAAAAACCGTCGACGCGGATAACAACTCAAAACCGTTGCCTAGGTAATACTCTATTTTATTGTAATCAGGCCTCATTTACATTTTTATCTTCTTGCTTTTTTCACGCTTGTTTTTATTCTCAATTCTTCGCACCCCATTCGTATATATTTTCGCTTGCGCGCTACATTCTTCATTCGTTAAAGGCTATAGACTGATAGCCGAAAGCTAATGTTTTTAATATATTTTTAACCAGAGAACGTTCTTATTCCAATGTAAAAAACCACGTGGCGCTGGGGATGAAAACAGAGTGTATCAAGCTAACGACGCTAGAGCGCATGCGTCGTACATGTTGGATTCTACCATAGTTCATTTGTTCAATGTGATCTCGAATGAAATCTAATATATAGTCGGCCCGCTAACTGATCCGCGCATGCATTTAGAAAAAATAGTTTTGTTCCAAAGAAAATAGAACCACAAGGAAAGCGAGAGGTTTTCTTAAACAAATATACAGCTTTGTGATGTTTTCTACAAAGTAAGGTAGGTATTACACGTTTTTATGTAGTACACACTGGCACCTGCCCCTCCCCAAACACTTAATTGCCTCAAGACTACTTAATTAATTCATATTAATTAATTAAACAAACGTAAAAAATTACACCTTAATGCCTTGCGTTCCTAGGCATTTTCTGATTGTAAACCTTAATGGTCTTTAGTATCATTCTTAGTGTGCCTCAATCAATCAATCAATCAACTTAATTTACAGAGGGTGACTCATGACAGTATAAACTGATAAACTAGTAGCCCTCTGTGCTAAAAATCTACGAGTAATTATAAAATAACTAAGTATAGTACAAAGTATGAACAATACAAAGTTACAATATGTAAAAAGTTNTTTTCGCTTGCGCGCTACATTCTTCATTCGTTAAAGGCTATAGACTGATAGCCGAAAGCTTATGTTTTTAATATATTTTTAACCAGAGAACGTTCTTATCCCGAAAATATGGTACATAAAAACACGTCCCAATGTAAAAGTTTCATTGTACCTGAAGAAGGCTGGTTTGGCCAGCTGAAATAAAGTACAATTTCAAAAAAATCATCCTACGTTGTTTCGGTTTCTTCTTTTATATTTTTCGCTATATTAAAGCCCCACAGTATTGACTGATTGATTGATTGTAGTCAGGCCTCGCTCTCGTGATCGTTTGACTCGCAGCTGAAACTGTTTATGCTGTAATGCTTTCTTGTAACACTTTTTTTTGCATGTTTTAGAAATTAAAATGTCCCCACTGGTTTATTATCAATCCACTGCTAGTTGCCCAAGTGCTTGTGTGAAAGTCGACTGGCAATCTTTCGGCAGCGTGAAGTTTTCGCAGTGTAGTGAATATGTCAGGTTTACAGAGAACGTTCTATACCTTTTCAATGTGTAGAGCCAAGTTAAGTTAAGTTTTAGCTTTGAGTGATTTCATAGTTTGTTAAATTCTTGATGCCAATGACTAATTCATGTATTATCTGTAATCTTTAATGGTCTTTAATGGTATTGAAATTTTACCTGTCGTCAGTGCGCGGTCCAGCAGTCACGTGTAATTTAGCAATGAAAAAAATAGAAATAAAAATGCCATCACCATGAGTGGAGTAGACTCTTGTTCGTTCTGAATCCTAATTAAATGATAGAAGAAAAATATATTTTGGCCAAGATCGTTCTGGTCATGTCTCGGGAGTAATCCGCGAATAGTTGATTCTAGTACATCGTACAAATTAGCGAAAAGGTTTTCTGTGTATCCCATTGGGGATCCCCAAAACACAAGGGATTTGGGTACGGGGGAACCCAAAACTCGGAGATACCCAAATCACTGTGACAGCTGTGACAGTACAGTGGGTCTGTTTCATCAACCAGGACCTGGAGACGAGTTTATCTTAGAACCCAGTACTAAATCGAACAGAACGGTCAGAATTAACGCATGCGCTGTTAGCCATGGTCCATATCTCATTATGGCCGACAGATGATCGCTGATGTTGGAGTGTTGTGGAGTTATTCCTATTCTGTGGAGGACTTTTGACAAGGTTGTTGTGGGAGAGAAAAGTGATGGTGGATTGAAGAACATTTTAAGTTTATCCGCAGACATGTTCTATTCTATACAAATTGGCGACACCGTGTTTACCGTGTTGAAGCGATACCGCAATCTACAGCTCATCGGATCTGGAGCGCAAGGAATGGTTTGGTGAGGGGACTACTGTTTACAAAAACCTCTTTATTTCTGTCTCTTTTTTATCTCCTTCAGCAAAACGCATCTAGGTTTAAATTATAGTTTGTCAGCTTTAAATTCGATATGTGTCGTTCATTCCTGTTTGGTCCAGAGAACAGGATTTTGGGGTTAAAAAATACTTCCATGTCGTACTGTGTTTAAACTCACAACCCGGCGAACTAACTATTGGATATGTTATTTATTACTGTGAACGCTGAGTGAATTATTTATCCCTGAATGTGGAATATTTCGTCGTTCGTGAAAATGTCCATTTTCTTTGAAAATTGTTGGCAGTGAAATCTAAACTTTTGATTTCGAAACCATCGATTGAAATCTTGGGGAAATCGCAAAACGCTCGGGGTTTTCCCTGGTCTAGAAATTCCTGTCTTTTGAAGGGAAATTCCCCTGTGAGACCAAACCGGAACAACGCCTTTGAACTCGTCGAGTTATCGATTCCCGTAGAACCAAATTTGCTTTAAAACTTAACTGAATTGCGGCTTATATCGATTAGAATGGTTTCGTTCCAAACGAAATCAGCTCGATCGAACAAGCTTAAGAATTTCTGGTTGTTGTATTGTTGTGGAATTTATCAGGTCATATTAGTCAATCCGGCTACTTCAGATTCCACACTGCGATCCCTTCTTTTTGGTTAAAACTGTGGATTTTAATTTTTTTTTCCCCTGTCATTAATGTATGTATGGCAGATTTAACTAAATTGATAAAAATCCTATGTAAAAATGACAAGAATTTTAATTTTTGCCTAGCTGGAATTTTGTATGGGTATCAAGTGACAAAAGTTTCCATCTTTAATATCTCTGTGAAAAACGTACAGCCTTCAAATTTTCATCTGAAAGCAAATAGTTTACATGGATTGAAATAATAGCCAAGTGCTTGAAAGCCTTTTGACCAAATTCCTCTTATAGCTTTGTAGAAGAGCAATAAACTGTAATGTCAATTCTTTGCATATTGTCTTATGATTTTGCTTTACTGTTATTGTCATGTTTATAAGTGAAACAGTAAACAAATACAACAGGCTGTTTATTGTGATATTTGTATTCTTAACTCCTAAATTATCAAGAGGGGTCATTTTTTCTGCTTAGATTATCAATATTTGTCACGGGAAACGCTGTTGAGAAGAACGAAGGCCGTGAACTAAAGGACGTTGTCGTGATGATCAATCACCCAACCTTCAAACATCATCTTAATAAACTCAAGTTAAATAAATTATATTGAATTTGCATGCATTACAGGTGTTTATTTATCACTTATTGTGTCCTGTGTTGGATACACAAGTTTTTTTAATTTGGTCATCATCATGTGATCAATAATCAGCCAATTAGACTGTGGGAAAATTGGTTAGATCCAACTGATCTCCAGCTCTANTATTAAACAATGTCTCTAAACCCAAACCGCCCGGAGCCTAAAATCTTAAAAAAGAGCAAAGACGTAATGCGTTTTAATTGTTTCATTTAAATGGGTTCCCTTTCTGACAGCTGATTGGTTATTGAAAATTAAGAAAGCTATTTAATGCTTTTACTCGGGTATTTAATAATTATAAAGCTGTTTAAGAATTCCTTTTTAACAACGCTTTGCTTATAACTGGCGACAGAAGGATATAATAACTTTAGTTCTGCTGTAGACAGGAGGTTATGAATCTTTCTGGCCCTGCAGAGTTATAAAGAAAAGATTTACGTGTAGTCTACTTTGTTATCGTCAACTTCGCCTAAAACTGCGTCAATTAAACACAAATATATTGCGACATTTAAAATGATCTGTTTAATTGAATCCGACGGTATATAAATTCCAAAATTTTCTTTTTTAACAAATACGAGGCACGGTTTGGACTGGTTAAGGTTAAAGCAAGCCGAAAGATTCATTGGATTTTGTATAAAGCAGAAAAATGCAGCAAAACAATTTGGTACAGTGCAAAGGGTTTTTGCGTATACATAATTTGTAGCAAGTTTAGGGGAATACGGTCATCAGTTTTTAACTCGGTTTTGAAAGCTCGGAAAGAGCGAGACGGATGTATCTTAGAAAATTCAGCAATAACGGTTTGATTTTTTAAACCAGCGGTGAAAAAATGGCAGAATCCCATTAGCAAGTGAGAACAGTTAACGATGAAAATCGATTACAGCTTGCCTAAAAAACGCCTTGAAAGGTAGAGGTTCGCGTTTTTGGCAAGTTTTCCAAAAACTCTCTTAGCGTCGATAAATTTTTTACAGCTTTGAGAAATGGCCGTGGCAGTTTTTCTTTAAAAAGTCTTAAGTTGAGCTCTGCTCTGGTATTTTCTCTTGATAATGCGATTTAATCTGTGCTGGAAGTTACTTACTTACAACCGTCCAAAACTACCTTTCTTTTCTCAGGCCCAGTTAGAAAAGATGGTGACAAAACTCAAAGTGGAGAAGGCCCAAGTGGAGGCGTCTTTGAGAGAAGAGGAGGCTAAATGTGGCATGCTGTTGAAAGAAGTCAAGGATGCAAACGAGGTGAGACCATCAGCTGCAAGTCTGCTGGGATCTTTTTCCGCCATCTTGAAAAACCATGACGCGGTTACAAAGCCCGAACGTTTCTTGGTAAAATTCACGCTATTGTTTCATCTTTCTAAGGAGTAAATTTGATTTTCTTGTTCGAGAATTAACATTCCCGGTTTGTGTTGGATAAGTTGTCACGTTGACATTTCACATATCTTCTTTTAAAAACAAGCCTTACGTGGAAAACGAAATTCATAAATTTTAAACTCAGCTTGGCTTTGTCGCTCAAGGCAACGAAAGCTAATCAGGGAAATGCTATACGAGATCAATTTATCAGGAAAAAAATTTACATATCACAGATGTCAAAGCCGGCTTCGTTGGTTAGGAGTCGGAAACTATGAAATAAAAGTAAAAGTTTTGACTGTGTATATATTTTTTGCGAGAGGTTGTAAGAATTTTTATGGTCTTGTATTGCTAGCTGTTATAGTGTTCTGTAACTGTTTGTATGCTTTTGTTTCGTGATTTGATTATCCTTTATGTTAATGTAGGAATAAAATTGTAGTCATTTTGGATAACAACAAATATAATCGCGTCGGTATTTGTTTTAAAATTATGATGTCACAGTTTATTCAAACTCGCTCGCTTCTCGCCATGTTGGGGGATCTAATCGCCGTCGTTTTGAAGTTATTTCCGTTAATTTGGTGAAAAAATCTGATTAGCAAAACTCCACTGGCTCACAAAGCGTTTTAGTATTTCCTGAACAACTTCAGTACATATTTTTTCAAGTGGTTTTGATCGAAAAGAAGCGACATCTTTCTCCAAACCTTCTTCACTATCACGAAAGTTTTGTTAATGGTAAGATCTATATGCGTTTGTTGTTTTATCTAGATGTAATGTTGCGTAGTATGTTTTTTAATGGTGTCGTGATTAATTATCAGTAAAAATGCATTGCCTTTTATCGCGGTTTTAAAATCCATTGTTCTCGGTGTTAAATTATGCATTTTAATTGCCTCTGCTACAATTTAAAACCAATCGTTAACCTTTATTTACCTTATTAAAAAATATCACGCGCGGATTTAGTTAGATACTAATATTTTAAAAGACTCTAGACGCGAGAAGATTCAATTGTGTTTCGTCGCTTTCAACAACACGAATAAGTAGCTAAGCGTGAGGCGTTTGATGACTGTGTCTGCTAAGAAGGGCCGTTTTCAAAAATAGTATGTCCATAAACGTCGACAGAACGGAAAAAATCCCAGAAAAATTTGATGATAACGTGGTCTTGTTCCTTTGCCGTGGGCAAGATCGCAAGAAAGTACGTTTCCGAAAACGCGACGCTGTCCCTAAATTCAAACATGAGGTACTTCAGATGCATTGTATTGTGTTTGTTAGATTTATTTCGCTTATGAATAGTAATTTTAAAGTTATGTCTACTGCATGTCTGACAATTCCAAGTGGAGAGATTCTGAAAATGAAAAAGAAGAGGTGAGCTCGGGAAAGAAAATATGAATAAATAAAAGAGAATTTTAGTGCTGTAATTGAGACGAGAAATAGTTGCCAAGTTCGTTTAAAATACCTTCTTTTTCAGGGATTTTTTACGTCTTGTTCCGTATTTTTCTTCTGTTAAGTTACTTAATTTGAAATTCTCCTCTCGAACTATCCAACTATTCTACTTTTTAGCGAGAAGTTATTTAAAGCTGAGGCTTGCGCTGTCGACGGAAGCCAAGGTCCAAGGTTGCTAACACAGATCAGACTAGTCACCAGTCTTTTTCTTTGCCCCACAGGCCCGGCAGAGCTTGGAGAAACTGTTATCTAATGTCAAGGGAGACTCTATAGAGTTAGAAAACAGATTACAGGTATAACAGAGTTAAGTCTGCTCCTCATTCTCTCTTTCTTGTAAACTGTCTTATACTCCACTCGTGTCTCCATCTCACCTCAACTAACAATGAAAAGGAACGTATGAAATTTGGCCTGGTGATCAAAAGCGTAACGTCCACAGTTTGAACATAAACTGCTAGTTTGCTTTTTCAGAGGTGGTAAACTCCAAGTTTTGAATTTTCGTAAGTGACTCCCTCACGGCTAGCGCGTTGGACCCTGGAGTTCTGGCTTGGTTCATTGTGTTGAGTTTCCGGGCAAGACACTTGCTCTCCAATGCCTCTATCTCCTGCCATCAGTGCTACTGGCTACAAATAGCGCAACGCGGCAAAATCCTAGCCGCTTAATGCTGCGTTACCTAGGATGAGCTTGAGTTTTAGGTCATTTTGGCCTGGTTTTATTTCATAATAATGCGTGTTCTTTTTCGTTTACCAGTCTGAGTCACTCACTCGAACTCAACACGAAAGAGAGGCTGAAGAGCATAAGGAATTATGGGAAGCAGAAGTACGGTCAAGAACAAAGTTGGGTGCTAAGGTACGGTATGTGTGTTTCACAAACACAGAAATTTGACGAGGTATTGAGTATGCATTGCGTACCTACTTTTTATTTTTTTTCGCTTGCGCGCTACATTCTTCATTCGTTAAAGGCTATAGACTGATAGCCGAAAGCTAATGTTTTTAATATATTTTTAACCAGAGAACGTTCTTATTCCAATGTAAAAAACCACGTGGCGCTGGGGATGAAAACAGAGTGTATCAAGCTAACGACGCTAGAGCGCATGCGTCGTACATGTTGGATTCTACCATAGTTCATTTGTTCAATGTGATCTCGAATGAAATCTAATATATAGTCGGCCCGCTAACTGATCCGCGCATGCATTTAGAAAAAATAGTTTTGTTCCAAAGAAAATAGAACCACAAGGAAAGCGAGAGGTTTTCTTAAACAAATATACAGCTTTGTGATGTTTTCTACAAAGTAAGGTAGGTATTACACGTTTTTATGTAGTACACACTGGCACCTGCCCCTCCCCAAACACTTAATTGCCTCAAGACTACTTAATTAATTCATATTAATTAATTAAACAAACGTAAAAAATTACACCTTAATGCCTTGCGTTCCTAGGCATTTTCTGATTGTAAACCTTAATGGTCTTTAGTATCATTCTTAGTGTGCCTCAATCAATCAATCAATCAACTTAATTTACAGAGGGTGACTCATGACAGTATAAACTGATAAACTAGTAGCCCTCTGTGCTAAAAATCTACGAGTAATTATAAAATAACTAAGTATAGTACAAAGTATGAACAATACAAAGTTACAATATGTAAAAAGTTATAAAAGTAAAAAGTCGGGGCATGTGTAATTTCAAGGTAAAACGTATTTTGTTACTTATTATTATTATTATTATTACAATAAACACTCCTCTTTTGCCTTCAAAATTATTATTATTATTACTATTATTATTATTATTATTATTATTACTATTATTATTATTATTATTATTATTTGCCAAATTTAAAAACAAGACTGGGCCTCTTCTAATGATAATCTTTTTCAATCTAATTTTAGCTCAGTGGTCAAACTACGAAGCTATTTTAGGAAACACACCTGATTGGCAATTTAAATGACGTAATAACATTGAAGGTTTAATTTAGTAGTTAATCGAATATGCAAACCCTTGCTCCTGCATGGATTTTCAGAGCGCCATTCGTAACAAAAGAAGACGCAAAATTCTAACTTCCCAGTGCTTTGAAAGAGCGCTCCAAAGCGATCTGTTTCGCTTTAATCCATTAGTATTTTTTGAGAAACGACTTTAGAGCGACCCACGCCGTACCAGCGGCTAAAAACCTCATGACCACCCCCTCTCTACTACGGCTCACGCCCCCCCCCCCCTCCCGCCGCCCGCTCCGGCCAAGACTTTTTGACCAGTCCCTGAACATATGGAAGATAATTTTTCTGCCCAGCGCTTTAAACATGCTTTCCAAAGAGACCTCTCTCGATCCAAACGATGCGGCAGTTCCGGAGAAGCAGCTTTTATCGCCGTGGACCTACAAACCCTGGAAAATATTACACAGAACTTTGAAAATAAATATTCAAAAATTTGCACCGGGATTTTTCGGAGTGAACGTTCTAACAAACGAGAAACAAATATTTTAGCTGTCCTGCGCTTTGAAATGTCTTTAGAAGGAGATGCTTTACGCTTCAATCAGTTGAGTACCTTCTTTCGAGTAGGTTTGAAATACGAGTCTTGGCGATCAAAACGCTTTGTGTTTTAAAAATCTTTTACGCACAAGAATGACACGACTTCTATTTTAACTTTGGAGAAGCACCTATACGATAATTTTTCTGCCCAACGCTTTAAAAATGATTTCCAATCCTAAAAGTGCAGTAGTTTAAAACTAACTCATCTTTTTCTCTTAACCCGCTTGATTTTCAATTTCGGATTTAGGTAGACGCGACCCGTTGGGCATTGGCTGCGCGATCATGCGACCGCGACTAAAAAAAACACTTTGACAGCGTGACGCGAAGTTTAACATAAATTGAAAAAGATTGTTATGGGGCAGGGGGGTGTGTTCTCCCAGGATCATAATCTCTTGTCGAAAGCTAGTCTTACGTTCTTTTGGGCGCTAAACTCGTAAATTACAGCTTCTTCAGGGCAGTTTTAGGTCTCGTAGAGTGACTTGTGTTCGAATAATGCTCTTGTAAATACCCCTTCCAACAAGTCTAGAGTAAGTCTAGACTAAGAAATAGATGAATCAAGCATCTCCATAAATGACTGATAATTACATTTATAACAACACCGATTCAAAGATACTGTGTTTAAAAGTTGAGAACCAAAGGCCTGAAATCAAAAGAAAACGTTTTTGAAAGGTAAACGGAATGGTTGTCTAATGGTGAGTGAGCTGGACTATGGATCAAGCAGTCGGGGTTCCAGCCCGGGCTGAGATCAGTGTTATGTGTTTGGGCAAAACAGTTTCCTGTCAGTCTTTCAGTGCCTTTCTTTATCCAAGTGTAAAATTGGGAACGAGAAAATACCAAGGCTAGGTCACCCAATTTTTCGGCATATCACTGATCAACTGGTCATAGTACGACAATAACAGCTCAAGACTGTAGAACTCAAAACATGTGATAATGAATTTATTTTCGTAAATGGCTTATAAAAGGCTAAGTCTGTATGTGATCCAAGTGGCCCATCAGGCCGATGCTTATTCCAGTTTCTATAGCATGAAGCGACTAGGAGTATTTCTACTCCCCCCTAGATGGGATGCTAGTCCATTGCAAGGCTATCCCAGCATAAAGGTCACCGTACCCATTTATACACCCGGGTGGAGAGAGGCACTGTGAGAGTAAAGCGTCTTGCTCAAGAACACAACTCAATGTCCCCCGGCCAGAGCTCGAACCCAGACCGCTCGATCGGGAGACGAGCGTACTAACCACGAGGCCACCGCGCCTCCCAAATGGTTCATGGTCGTATCAAATCGATCAATACATAGACATAGATCTTTCTAATATGATGCCTAATCCAGACAAATATGATGAGACTGACCCAGACTTCATGCTTACCTCTCCATGATCTGATTATTTTACAATTTCTAAAATGAATTATATTTTAAATAATGCTGGGTCTAAAGCTATCTCATTATGCTACAGAAGAAGTCTGCCGAAGAACATGTCTCTAGTAGATGATATGTTGTACTCTCAAGACAAAAAGTCAGATACTCTTGCACTCAAAGAAACAAAACGAAATCCAAACTCTACAACCAATATAGACCTCCCCAACTATAATGAGGGTCGTACAGGGATATTCTCGTGATGCCTGATTAGCTGATTTTATTTTCCGTGAAACGTGAATTTAGGAAATTATGCTTCGTGACTCGTGACCTGAAGGTTTTGCGTGACCCGTGACGAACCTGAATTATTAACCGATATTCGTGATTTTACCACTTTATTCTACGTGATTTTCAGACGCAAGTCCTCCGAATGGTTAGAGTCGATTTTCGAGAGTGACTTAGGTATGCGATTTGCAATATGGAGCCTTGACTTAGCAATTCGCGACTTTACTTTCTTAAAACACTGCTTCTAGTGTAAGGACACTCACTCACTCACTCACTCATGCCCTTTACGCCTAAGTGGCATGTAGGGCAGCAATATGTTCCCTCCACATCTGTCGGTCCCTTGCCATAAGTAAGAACAGGTCACTAAAAAAAGTATCTTATTTGCTTATTTTCGTGATTCGGGAAAACGAAAGTTTTATCTCCGTGATCCTCTATTTTTTTTCCGTTCGTGAAACGTGCCAGAGCCCCCCCCCTCCCCCCCCCCCTCCCGTACGACCCTCTATAATTTTCATCACACTGGCTCATCCTGCTGCTATTTACAAGAGCATTCTAAAAACAATAGCCAGACCTGCAGATATAACACTTGACATTTACCTAGTNCCCCCCCCCCCCCCCCCTCCTGTACGACCCATTATAATTTTCATCACACTGGCTCATCCTGCTGCTATTTACAAGAACATTAACATTCACCTAGTTGAAACCTGCTGCGCTCAAATTCATCCATGTAATGGGAAAACATATTCTTATTGGTTGTATCTATTGCCACTTAACTTGAATTTAAAGTGCAACTCGAGGAAATTATCAATAGGAAGCGACAAAATATGAAATATGAATCCTTGGTGATATGCATAACGATGTTCTGAGATGCACCAGTCACCAACAGACTGAAGATTACTTAGACTTGTTTTATTCAGTTTTCTTCCTGTGATTACCAAACCCACCAGAATTACTACTCATACTGCAACACTCATTGACCACATATATACTAACACGTCTGCGCAAAATATTTCTAGTATTGGTCTGGTTGACATCCCAGATCACCTGCAAGCATATTCTGCTTCTTAGACGCAGTTGTCCGTCTCGCAAACGGTCAATGCCATTTTCGCGACACTTAGAAATATTTTTTAATAATTAACGAATTTTTGTCTACTAAATTAAAGAAAAAAGAAAATTTGTAAGTAACCACCCAGTATTGAACCCAGAACCTTTGTTTCCTGATTTTCCTCTTATACAACTACTCTACCAAATTTTTGTCCTGTTTTTTTTTTTTTTTTTTTTTTTTTTTTTT